CCTTAAAAAGGATGTGTGATGTCATGGTTGTGCAATATATTTAGAGGGGTTGGGGGAGAAGGGAATTCTAGGGTCTTGGCAAGAGGGTGGAGTTAAAAGATAAAGAATAAAACACAAAGGGGAGTTTCCAGTTTGCCTTTGTGTGAACTGCTTGTTGAAGAAATTGCAAAGGTTGGGGATGAATTTGGGTGGGGAAAGTAAAAGAAGAAAATTAAAATGAATATAGGAAAAAGAAAGGTATGAGGATAAAAAGATTAGGGTTTGAAAGTTTGGATTCAGTTTGGGAGAGAGTATGGAGGGGGTAAATGTTTCGATATTTGGAGTGGACAGTCGCGAGGGGTCCGAAGGTGGAGGTGAATCACAGAATTGTGGGGGGAAAAGGGTGGTGGTGCACTTAGGAGTCTTGGAACAAAAAAATTTTATCCAAGGAAGAAAAGAGGGGAATGTATGAGAGTATAGTTGTGCCAACACCTTGCAGGTGTGAAGCAGGGTGATGAATTTTACAATGAGGAAAAGGGGCGGAGGCATGGAGATGTCATGTTAGGGCAAGTGTGGTGTGAATATAATGCAGAAATTTTCGTTTTTTTTTTGGAAATTAGGGAAGGTGGGGAATTTTCCAAAACTATTATCCAGAGGGCTGAGGAGGGGTTGTTGAGGGGTTCGGACATGTAGAGAAAAGGGGACAAAACAAAATGACTTCGAGAGTAAAATCTCAGGGAGGGAAGGGGGGGGAAAGGGGGTCGGCCAGGAAGGGTTGGAGGGGGTAAGGAGGTTTTGTGTCGGGGGGCGGGGACTTGAGAAAGGGGTTTGCTGAGCGTTTTTAAAGGAGTGAATGAGACACGGGTTTTTAATATTTTTACGTGCTGTTGGGTTTAGCAAATAACTTTATAAAAATTTAGGGAAAACCGGGCAGGCCTGACTTGGTCCTGGAGATAAAAGTACATTTGTTACGCTCTGAAGGGGGGTACTGATTTCAGTTTTATAACCGTAGTGTAAAGCACCCCCTCGGGCAAGACAGTGATGGGTGAAGATATACCAATCATTAAGTATTCTAGCCTAAAATGCAAAACAAATTTATTACATTGGGGTACCTTAAAATCCCCTTTTCTAATTAAAAATTACACTCTGAATTTTATTATGTATGGTTCGAAGGATAATACAGTGGCCCCTTGCCTTAGAACAGCTCCCAACTCGAACAATTTGTAATGTTTTTTTTTAAGCCCTTTTGTACGTGTATTTTTGGGGGGGTCTGAAACGGACTAATCAAATTTTCAAATTTCCCTTTAAGGAAAAATTCGTTTGGTAACTCACCCAACAGACTTTTGAATAAATTTAAATATCGTAAGTAGGGGTCCACTGTACTGTCCATATATTTTTTTTTTTTTTTTTTTTTTAAAAAACCCGGCCATCTTTCCCAAGGAGGGGGACCCAATAAAAAAAAACTTTTTTCATAATCACCCACCATTCTTGCCAGAGGCACAATACTACAGTTCAGTTTGCCCTAATAACGTAATATCCCCACCCCCCCTTTCAGAGTGCAGGCAATGTACTTTCCTTTACAAATTTCAAGCCCGCAAAAAATTTTCCCTTGAATCCCTTATAAATGTAACCTTGCTCACACCCCCAACGCATTTTTTTTTTTTTTTTTTAAAAAGTGGGGGGCCGTCTCCCCTGAAGCAGGGTGCCCAAAAAGAAAGAAAATCCCCAAAAAGAAAAAATTTCATCACATTCAACTTTTTTTCACCTCACTTCCAAACGCTCAAAAAAAACCATTCCCTCCACTCGTTTTAACATATTTCCCACACGTTGTTGAAGGGCCCAAGCCTCCCAAAAACAAACCCCCCTTTGCTCCCTTAAAATTTTCCCTGGGACAAACCCAACCCCGCCTTCCCCCAACTACAGATTTATATACCCCTAGTTTCCTCTTTTTTTAAAACGTTAAATATTTTTTTCCCTGGGCTTTGTAAATTTATTACTCTTACCCCAAAATTTTTTTATCCAGAAAAATTTGTTGACAGAAACTCCCCCCATTCTCTCATTTGCTCTCCTTTAACACCTCTCACCACTTAGCCAGAAAAGTGAACTATAGATATAAACCAGATAACTCCTTTTAAAAACCCCTTTTGGGCCAGTTTCCGGGCCTTTTGTGTATCCATTGCTTTTGTGCTACTGCCACAGGATTGATTGGGGTGCACAATAAAGTAGACACTTCGGGGAAAAATCTAAATCCCATTTAACCTCTCTCTTTCTATCTCCCCCCCTCCGAATCACTTCTGTTTTGTAAAAACCTTTAATATGGTAACTTTTTTTCTTACCACATCTCCCTTTCCCACCAATTGTCCTTTCCCCACACACACATAACACTACTTTTTAAAATCACTCTATACCCTTCAATTCCTCTGTTTTTATACCTCCCCCTTTTTTTCCCCCAACATTGTTTATATTACCCTAACTACCTCCCCCATTAAATTTTAATTTTCACTTTCTCCCTCTTACCTCATGAGCCATTCCCTTTTTATCCCATTACCTCTTACTCTACTGTAGTACAATTAAATAAGATCTATACAAAATGTTCCCCCTCTAAAACATGCACATCCAAAGTCTATTTAAGAAATAAGAACATAAAAAGGAAACGCGCAGGAGGCCTGCGGGCCCATACTAGGCAGGTCCTTTACAATTCACCCACTAAAAAAACATTTGCCCAACCCCAATTTTCAATGCCCCCCAAAAAATGCTCGATGTAAAGCCCACTCAAATCCAACCCCCCCACTCATGTACTTACCCAAACCCTAAATTTGAAACACCCCCAAATCCCAGCCTAAATAACCCAACTGGGTAGAGTTTCCACTCACAACTCCCCTTTTTTAAAAACCCAATACTTCCCTTGCCTTTCTAAATCTAAATTTACCTAATTTAAACCCTTTACTGCGGCCCTCTTTGGAGAGACACCCCTCAAGACCTTATTAATACCCCTTTATTATTACCTATCTTCCACTTATACACTTAATCAGGTCTCCCCTCATTTTGTCTAAAAAGTGAATGTAATTTAAGAGTTTCAACTTTTTAAAAGGGAAAGATTTTAATGCATGTTTTAAATTTAGTCATCCTACGTGAATGTTTTTAACGAATTTATGTCCATTTGTAATCGGAGACCAAACTGACTGCAAAATAGGTGACCCTTACTAAGATGTATAAAGCTGCAGTATGACCTCGGACTTCTGTTGCTTACACTTCTTGTTTATAAATCCCAGAATCTTTTTCCCTTATTACGTACGCTTGGCATTGCGTTTTGGGTTTTTAAGGGTTGCTGCTCACCATAACCCCCAAGCCCTTTTGCAATCTGTATGGAAAGTTCTACATAAATTTAACTTATAAGTACTAGGTTATGGGCATCCCAAGATTCAGAACCTTGCATTTATCACATTGAACTGAAATCTCCCATTTTTTCTACCAAGAATAGATTTTTTTGTTTAAATCCTCCTGAAGTTCCATAACACTACTTTTGAATCAATTATCCCCCCTATTTTTGGTCATCGGCGAATTTGCTCATTCACTAGAAATTCCCCTCATCAAGATCATTGAAAAAAATTAAACAACAACGGGCCCAAGACGATCCCTGGGAACCCCACTTTTTTACAGATCCCCACTCAGATTTAAACCCCCTTTTAAAGGACACCTTGTTCCTTCATGAGCCATGACTCTCCACGAAGCATTTTTTTCCCCCAAGCCATGAGTGCCACTTTTTTTTAACAGTCATGGTGCGGAACTCTATCAAAACCCCTTCAAAATCTAAGTAAATAATATCAAATTCTTTATTGGGGTCAACACCTCAAAGTTTTATAAAAGAAAGTTAATAAATTAGTTAGACAAGATCGGCCTCTTGTAAATCCATGCGATTCATTAATAAAAGCTATGCTTATCGAGATGGCTTCTTATAATCTCAGCTAAATTGACTAAAATTGCCTACAATTGGGTCAGGCTTATTGGGCGGTAATTTGACGGTAACGACTTGCCCCCTGTTTTAAAAATGGGAAATTTACATAGCCATCTTCCACATATAACATACACCTTTTTTAAGAGATAAATTTAAAAATATATTAATGGTTCACGAGTTCCATTTTGCATTCCTTTTAAAACCCTTGAAAAAACCTCATCAGGGGCCCGGCACTTTTTTTGCTTCAGTCTGTCTATCTGCTTCAAAAACCATCTCACATGACTGTGGGGTTCAAAATTTTTATTTTTCTACCCCACTGTAAAAAAATTACGGGAATATTTTAGGTCTTCCTGTGAAAAAACGAGAGAAAAAAATTTTTAAAATCAAGCACATTTCATTCTCTTTGTCAGTAAGGTGCCCTTTAGTTATTTTTAAGGGGACCTATCTTACTCTAACTTTTGTTTATAGACCTGGAAAAAAACTTTTTGGGTTAGTTTTTAGAATCCCTAGCAACTTTAATTTCTACCCCCTTTTTTAGCTTTCTTTACCCCCTTTTTTTAATGTCCCTATTAATTAAATATACGTTCTGTTTCTAAGAACCCTCCCTCTTTTGATATCCTATAAATTCCTTTCATATCCCTAGAAGATATTTTGAGCCTATTATTATCCATTTTGGGTCATTTTTTTGATCAATTTTCTTTATATGGTAAACGCTCTTTGAGCAGCATGATAGTGTTCAAAAAAAACTGTTTTTGTAGCTCTTTCGTTACCCCCCAAAACAATGATAAGGTTCCTAAGCCCTCGAAACTGCTAAGCGAAAATCGGGGACTGTTCTGAGTTATCGTACTATCGACTTCCATTAAATGAAAATGTAATTGATTTGGGGTCGCTGCACCCATTCCTCTAAATTTCAAATTATTAACAAGGGTTTCATTTTTTTTGCCATAACAAGTCAAAACAGGGTTTTTTCCCCCTTTAGGTTTGTCACAAACTCTTCAAAAAAAAAATCCTGAAAAACTTCTAAAAGTCGTTGATTCTAAAATTCCCAGTCAAGAAATCCAACAACATGACTAAAGTTAAAGTCTCCTAGAATTACTACATTATCGTGCCTTGGCCTTAACAATTTCCTCCCAAGTAGTTTCCCCCTTTGGGCCCCCATCTAAGTTTGGGGGACGGTATATCACTCCTAAAATCATTTTTTTTGCCCCTCTGAAAATTCTATCCCAAACAGACTCTGTATTTGTTACTTCAACTTAATACCCCGGGTTTTTTTGCAACAGTTCAACGATCTCGGAATCAATGCCCCCCCCCCCCCTTCCCCCAAAACTTCTATCTTTTGAACAATTTAAAACCCGAATATACATTCGCAGGCAGTCCCCCACTTTTTAAATTTAAAACCCCTCTCGTTAAGGCAAAATACTCAATTTACCTGACTAGCAACTAATCCAATTTCCATCTTTTCCTAGCACTACGGCCAAATTTGCATAAAAACATTGAAAGACTTCCCCTTTCTCTTTCCCTTTCCCGCTCATTTTTTTTTCTACTAAACCTATTATTCCTTTTACCCCAAAAACCCGGCTTTCCCCAAAATCTACCCGTTCTTTTATTTTCTAGTTTCCCTAAACTCGTAATATACTACATGGGGTTTATGTTTTCCCGCCAAAACCCAAACCACTAACTACTCCTAGTTAAAGTTAACTGCTCCCTCCATGCAGTTTCCAGGCTCCCACCCCCCCACCCCAAAAGTGAACCCCATCCCCGGCATACATGTCATTTTTGCCATAGAAGAGGTCCCAGTTGTCAATGAATGTTACGCATTTTCCCTTTCAGTATTTGTCCCCCAGCAATTTACACCAATTTCCCGGACAACCAATTTATTTCCAAACCCCCCCCTTGGCAAAATAACCAATGAGGGGGGTTTCCCCCCCCTTTCCCTATTATTTTTTTGCTACCTAACCCCTAATCAGGGCTTCACTCCCCGCTGCCCAAAATCGTTTTCCCCCAGCCGAGACAGATAATAGATTACTCCCCTTTCCTCATGATTTATCCAGACGGGTAACAATATCCCTTCATCCCCGCCCCAGGAAAGCAAACTCTGTCTCCACTCCTGTCCTTCAAGCTTTTATCCACCAATACAACTCAACAAAAACCCGCATTATACTCTATATCATCCTTCATGTACTACTTGTTTACATTTTTTATAATATATATTGCCTACACCAAACCTCTTTTTATACAAAAATAATTAAAGGCCCCCTTACATTTACCCGTTACCCCAAACTTACCTCTATGCCCCTTTCAAAATTTCTCCCCCGTTTTTCAAAATTTTAAATTTTAGACAAAAAAACACAGCAATTATGAAAATTTCCAATTCCAAGAGCTATGAAAATAAGAATGAACAGCTATTACCCCTTTCCCGAACCTCGCGAACTGAGAGCCCCTTGACACGTGCTGTGGGACTACGGGGTCGAGTGTTTACACTAACTTCTTCATCAAACTGAAAAATTATGTCAAAAATTAAAGGCTAGATAAATTTTTTTTTGAAATTTTGAGAATATAGAGCTAACTTTTGAGAAAAAAAAGTTTCGTTTAAAAAAAACAGCTTTCTGAAACAAGATTTTTTTGACAAAAAAGTCAAGTCTAAGATTTTTATCAAATCAAAGATGATATCATTTTACGATTGATATCATTTGGGTTTATCATTATACAGAAATAAAAAAAAGCACACAGATAAGATTTCTGGTTTGAAGGGAAAAAGGGGAGCTAAGTAAATCTTTGGATGTGATGAATCTTGGATGGCAAAGCACAAGGGTATACAGGAATTGTCATTTTGGTTTTTGGTTGGTAAAATTTCCCCCCCAACCCCACTGCCAAAAATGTCCCTGTAGTAAATGTAACCAGTGTATAACTGTATTAATTTTAACCTTGGGTTTTCTTCAGTAAAGTTTTGTGCAATGTTAAACCCCAAAAAGGTCCAAACATATAATACGTTTTTTTTAACATCTGAAAGTAAGTAAAAAAATAATCTTTTGTTTTTTTCATTTGAAAATTGTAAAAAAAACTTTGATCTTCCTTTTTTTTTTTTTACATTGAAAATATGAAAAAAAAAAGTAGATTTTCTTTTTGTACACTCACATGTGAACGTAGTCTGCTTGACCCTTTAGGGGTTTAAAACAGTTCCCATTATTTACCACCTAGAACTGCCCCTTTTTTGATGGCCAGTTTGGCGGCATTTACCGTCATAAATGGAATGTAATCTTGGTGAAAATGTACTGTTGATGGATTGAAGTGCCTACAAAATTAGTGTTTTCCCGAATTTTGGATTTTTGATTCTGGAAGTTTTGCAATGTACTGTTTGTAAAAACCACCACAGGAATGGTGAGCACACTAAATGGGTTATTCATGGACCCCCCGGGGGACGACCGTAATCATTTCCCGAAAGGTTTTCCTAAAACCAAAAGGCCAAAAACCCCAAATATATTTCCCATAAGAATTTTTAAATAAATTAATCCGTTTCCCGCATCTAAAAATATTTAAAAAAAAATACATTTTTTTTAAAAAATTTAAATTTCAGTTTTACATACAAAAACAATGAAAAAAAAAATAAAAAACTAATTTTAATAATAAATGAAAATTTCATAGTTTATTTTGGGTATTTCTGAATATGGGAAGAAGGGGGGAGGGGGGAGGGAGGAAGTTTATTGTTTTGGAAGGGGAAACCCCTCCGAAGGGCTTTAGTATCAAAACCCTTCTGGGGTTACTTCCCTTTTTGTCTTTTACTACCCCCTAGGGCCAGCTTAAACACGTACCCCTGTCGACAAAAAAACGAAAAGGTCTGTTTTGGCAACTCTAAATTGCTTAAATCGGACAAGGTTTTTTCACTGAACTGTTGCAGATTTGGCTTGTTTGAGCTTAGTCCGGGTGTATTTTTCCCCCAAAAATTTTGCAATCAATCCACTTTAACACATCTTAAAACACTGAAGGGAGCAATTTCCCCCTCCTTCCTCCTCCTCTGAGCAATTTTCCCAGCTGTGGGCTGCTGCTGTTCAGAGAAGGGCTTGTGGCTCTTCAGTGGTTAGCTTCCCCGTGGTCCTCCACAACTCTTCCACATCCTGGCCACTCACATCCAACCCCAGGACTTCCCCCAAAAACCCCAATACTTCCACAACAGGGAGAGGGTTGACAGGGCAGGTCAGGGTCAGGGGCAGGGGCAGGGGGCAGGGTCCGGGTTTAGGGTCAGGTAGGTCAGGGGCCGGGCAGGGGCAGGGGCAGGGTCAGGGTCAGGTCAATGGTCAGGGCGCTTAAACCCTTCAAAATCCTTCCTTGGACACATTTTAGCCCCAATTTTTTTCCAAGCAGGTTTAAAGTCCTGAAAGTCACTCCCGCCAAGCCTTACCTATAAGGCTTATGCAAGGAGGGGATTTTAGTGTTCCTCCAAACTCTCCTAGGTCAAATAAGTGCCGAAGCACTTCAAAACACCTTTTAAGTTTTTTTCGTGTAGAGTTTTTTGAAGCTAGAAAGACCCGTGGCCATGGGTGAATAGAGGATGGTGTTAGGAGGGAAGAACTCAATGCTATAAAAACTTAACTCCACAGAAATTGGTTTTACCAAATTTGCAGATGAGCAGAGCATTGTCCAGTACCAGGAACACTTGGGGCAATTATTTTTTCCCGGGGAAAATTTTTTCACACTCAGGCCAAACACTTAATGGACCCAGTCAAAAGAAAATTTGCATTGTGACCCTGCCTTATTATTTCATTTCCCCAAAACACACAATTTTTCTCTTGATCATTTTTTTTCCTGAACACTGGATTTTCAGAGTATCACCGTAAAAAGGGTTCATTGAAATCCCCATAGCATTACCACGAACAAAAGAGTAAGCCCCTTCATAGGTGTGTCCCCGGCAGTACCTTTTCCCCTATGATGTAGGGTTGTCTTTGGCATTTTCTTTCCAAAAAGGCCTGTTTCATCACAAATGAACACTTGTTGGGGAGGAATCCTTTAATTCACATCAAACCTCCAGTGCATGTTTGTCTACCTTGCAGCCTCGCCAGCCTTTGAACACGTTATGCCACTAACTTTTTAAAACTCTCAAAACCCGCCTTTTCTGGCCTTAAAATTTATAACGCAGCACTCTTCCAAGCTCTTTCTTTACAATCGCATGCAACTGCCTTGCCTTTTAACAAATGTCGACTCCACAACAATCCTGCTAATTGTTTATTGTTGACTACCCAACAATAACTTCCCACATCTTTGATTATTGGGCATCATTGTTTCGTTAGCATAACTCACGAAAACAATGACACGATTGCAAACAAACCACCCCGGGTGGGATTGAACCCCCCGGTAGAGAGTCTCAAAACTCCAGCCCGTCGCGTTAGCCACTAGACCAGCTACCACGCAAAATTCTCCAACTAGGGATATTTATAACACCTTCATTACGATTTAGTGAGTCATGTTTACGCAGTGAAGGGGCTTGAGCTAGATTCGCACGGCCACGCAGCTGGAATTCGTCGTAAAAAAATTGCATTTGTGGGCCAGTGGGGCCCGTGCTAAACCCTTCCGGTTAGAAATATTCTAGTTGGACGAATTTTACTGTGGCTACTGGTCTAGGGCAAACGACGGGCTGGAGTTTTGAGACCTCTAAACCGCGGGGTTTAACCAGCTGGGGTATGGTTTTTTAGATTTTACCCCCTTCTCAACATTACTTCCTTGATTTCACTTTCTTTTCCAGGTGGAAATGATTGTTGATTTGGGTTTCCCCTCATCCGGCAACCCCTGGACACGTACACCAAACTCATACTTTGCTACAATTTCTTTCTTGACTTCTATTGTGTTTCTCACTTTCTTTACCAAAGGGCTGGCACTGGGAACTTTCTTTGGGCCCACTGTGCCTTATTTCACGATTGCATTCAATAAACAACCACAAAAAACAATAGATTATAACGAAATGTTTGGATGAATGCACGGAGTCTTGTTCACTCACCCAGAGATGCAGCCAGACTGACTTACGAAGGCGGTGGAGTGGCAGGCAGCTGCATCCAATACAGCCGATTTCAAGCTGCCAGCTGAAATCCAGGAAAGAATTTCTAGCCAAGAAAGTGGCCGAAATCCAATTTAGCCGATATCCAGAACAGCCAATATCCGAGGGTCCGCTGTATCTGAGAACTTACAGAATCTGCAGCCCCAAATATTTTGAGAAATGTGGCATCATTAGTAACATCTCTGCCATACTACACTATCCTTTACACTTCATTTGGGTTTGCAGACAAAGGACCCAGAAAATGCTTGTTTACATTCAAAGGACAATGACTGCAAAAGACAGCTCAATGTCTCCAAAGGTAACAATTCAGATATCCCCATACAGATATTTAAGAAAAGTGGAAATAACGTCATCACTTCCAAAACTTAAACTTCACCAGAACAGGACACCATTGCTGGTAGAATATATATACACTATTCCCTGTGGAAGACATGACAAACAGTACATTTTAGATCAAGTAAAGTTTTGCAAACCGAAAATTCAAGAACACTAATATGCCTGCAGGTCTGACAATACCGACAACACATGAACAGTTCTTTGGGATAAACCTTCATACTATGGCATGGCAAGATGCCAAACTAGTCATCGATGAAAGGGACAGGGCCACAAAATGTATGAAAACTCTTTCACTAGTACACAACACTAGTGAACAGAACGAAGGTTTATATAGCCTATCTAAACCACTGACTCACTTCATACTAAAGAGACACTCTTGGCATCATTAAAGGTAGGAAATCTTTATGCAAAGAATTAAAGTGAAAATTAGCAAACCCCTGCAAGAACATTCAAGCATATTGTGCAAATCAAGTCACAAGCTGATTTGTCCCTTATGGAAATTAGCTTAAGAGATTCAGCATATGAATAAATAACTATTAATAACTAAATTGTGAAATATTACTTTCCATCTCTGGTAATGAGTTGTTATTCAAAGCCCAAAAAATTAACAGAAGTAAAGTATGATAGCTGACAACATTAGCTGTCCATAATTCATTTAGGCAGATCTAAATATTTTCACACAGTAAATAGTTAACAAGAAGATATTTTTCCTGATAATGACAGGAAAGTAAGCTACAATACAATTTTTCTTAATTTACTGGAAATGAATTTACATGAAGATATGAAGCCCCTAGAATTATGTATTTTTATTATAAAGAAAAGTTATAAATCCCTGACAAGTCTTCCACTGATGTCTTTTAGTGCTAAAAGTAAATTATTATGTTACACTGCAAAAGCCGAAAAAGTTTTTCAATTTGTGTTAATTACTGGTTAAGTTTCAAACTTGAAGAGTTTATTTACAGCCTATGGTGCTCAAGAGAATATGTAGCAAAAATTTCATAAAAATACCTTAACAAAGTCATGGAAGTAACTCATCTTGTTTAAAACAACAGCCAAGGTTCTTAGCAACAAGTGCTTTTGCAAAGTGAGTTAAAAATCAAAACACATCACACACAAAGGAGTCACACACTGACATCTTTCTCATACACTATCCTTAATTCAAAAATTCAAATAGTCATACATTGTAGCCTGCCAAACAAAACACCACAACAACACTCAATACAGACAAATACATTATACAACAAACACATAGTCATGCAACACATCTAACACAATCCCATTAAAATATGACACTACAACTATTCAAATAGACGTGTCCACTATCAAAGAGAATCCTACAATTATCGACAAAAACACACACATCAGATCCACACAACACACACACTGCAACAGGCACCAAACATCTACACACACTCTCACGATCACACTGCACACACCTCACAACACATCACAGACACACACACATCAGGCAACTCTCACATCACCACACTCACACATTCACATCCATACACATCCACACAAACATTCACAACACTCACACACTACGCACTCCACAACAAAACAAACAACTTCAACAGTTCACACACACTCCAACACACAGCTCCACACACATCCGAGACACACACCGTCAATTCCACAGCCCCACACACACACTCCCACACACACTCTCCAAAACACCAACTCCACACAAAAACACGCCACACCACAACACCACACACACTCCACACAAACTCCACACACACACTCACACACACACTCACACACACACACACACACACACACACTCCACACACAACACTCCACACACCACACACACTCACACACACACACACACACACACACACAACACACACACACACACACACACACACACCACACACAACACACTCACACACACAACACACACACAACACACACACACCACACACTAGTGCTAAAAGTAAATTATTATGTTACACTGCGTATGACAGGGTGGATAGGGGGGCAATGTGGCAGATGTTGCAAGTGTATGGTGTAGGAGGTAGGTTACTGAAAGCAGTGAAGAGTTTTTACGAGGATAGTGAGGCTCAAGTTAGAGTATGTAGGAAAGAGGGAAATTTTTTCCCAGTAAAAGTAGGCCTTAGACAAGGATGTGTGATGTCACCGTGGTTGTTTAATATATTTATAGATGGGGTTGTAAGAGAAGTAAATGCGAGGGTCTTGGCAAGAGGCGTGGAGTTAAAAGATAAAGAATCACACACAAAGTGGGAGTTGTCACAGCTGCTCTTTGCTGATGACACTGTGCTCTTGGGAGATTCTGAAGAGAAGTTGCAGAGATTGGTGGATGAATTTGGTAGGGTGTGCAAAAGAAGAAAATTAAAGGTGAATACAGGAAAGAGTAAGGTTATGAGGATAACAAAAAGATTAGGTGATGAAAGATTGAATATCAGATTGGAGGGAGAGAGTATGGAGGAGGTGAACGTATTCAGATATTTGGGAGTGGACGTGTCAGCGGATGGGTCTATGAAAGATGAGGTGAATCATAGAATTGATGAGGGAAAAAGAGTGAGTGGTGCACTTAGGAGTCTGTGGAGACAAAGAACTTTGTCCTTGGAGGCAAAGAGGGGAATGTATGAGAGTATAGTTTTACCAACGCTCTTATATGGGTGTGAAGCGTGGGTGATGAATGTTGCAGCGAGGAGAAGGCTGGAGGCAGTGGAGATGTCATGTCTGAGGGCAATGTGTGGTGTGAATATAATGCAGAGAATTCGTAGTTTGGAAGTTAGGAGGAGGTGCGGGATTACCAAAACTGTTGTCCAGAGGGCTGAGGAAGGGTTGTTGAGGTGGTTCGGACATGTAGAGAGAATGGAGCGAAACAGAATGACTTCAAGAGTGTATCAGTCTGTAGTGGAAGGAAGGCGGGGTAGGGGTCGGCCTAGGAAAGGTTGGAGGGAGGGGGTAAAGGAGGTTTTGTGTGCGAGGGGCTTGGACTTCCAGGAGGCATGCATGAGCGTGTTTGATAGGAGTGAATGGAGACAAATGGTTTTTAATACTTGACGTGCTGTTGGAGTGTGAGCAAAGTAACATTTATGAAGGGATTCAGGGAAACCGGCAGGCCGGACTTGAGTCCTGGAGATGGGAAGTACAGTGCCTGCACTCTGAAGGAGGGGTGTTAATGTTGCAGTTTAAAAACTGTAGTGTAAAGCACCCTTCTGGCAAGACAGTGATGGAGTGAATGATGGTGAAAGTTTTTCTTTTTCGGGCCACCCTGCCTTGGTGGGAATCGGCCAGTGTGATAATAAAAAATAAAATAAATAACTGCAAAAGCTGAAAAAGTTTTTCAATTTTTGTTAATACTGGTTAACTTTCAGCTTGCGTACTGTATATCACTTTCCTACTGCCCTATGTGCCCAGAGAAGCAATATAGTACCCAAAAATTTCATAGATACCTAACAGAGAGTCATAGGAAGCTAACTCACTCTCGTGCACATACACAACAGACCAACGGTCTTAGCAACAAGTGCTTTTGACAAATGGTTATGAACTCAACACACACCACACACACACACCACACACACACACACACACACACACACACACACACACACTCCACACACACACACTCCACACACACACACTCCACACACACACTCCACACACACACACTCCACACACACACACTCCACACACACACTCCACACACACACACTCCACACACACACACTCCACAACACACACTCACACACACACACACTCCCACACACACACACTCCACACACACACACACACACACACTCCACACATACCCCACACACCATGCACATGCACGCACGCACGGATATAAATACAACAGGCCTAGTGCCTAATCGACATGTGGCTAGGACAAAATGGTAACTAAAACACACACACACACACACACACACACACACCACACCACACCACACCACACACTAGGGAGGCCAGAGACTACAAACCTCTCAAGGAAAAGGATCTTGGGGTGAGCATAAAACTGGGCACATCTCCTGAGGTGCACATCAACCAAATAACTGCTGCGGCATACGGGCGCCTAGCAAACCTAAGAACAGCATTCAAACATCTTAATATGAAATCGTTCAGGACAATGTACACCGTGTATGTTAGGCCTATATTGGAGCATGCAGCACCAGTTTGGAACCCACACCTAGCCAAGCATGCAAGAAAACTAGAGAAATTGCAAAGGTTTGCAACAAGACTAGTCCTAGAGCTAAGGGGCATGTCCTATGAGGAGAGGTTAAGGGAAATCGACCTAACACTGAGGACAGGAGAGGGGGATATGATAACAACATATAAAATACTGAGAGGAACTGACAAGATGGAGAGACAGGATGTTCCAGAGATGGGACACAGCAACAAGGGGTCACAGTTGGAAGTTGAAGATTCAGATGAATCACAGGGATGTTAGGAAGTATTTCTTCAGTCACAGAGTTGTCAGGAAGTGGAATAGTCTGGGTAGTGATGTAGTGGAGGCAGGATCCATACATAGCTTTAAGAAGAGGTATGATAAAGCTCATGGAGCAGGAAGAGGGACCGAGTAGCGGCAAGTGAAGAGGCAGGGCGAGGAGCTGTGAGTCGACCCCTGCAATCACAACTAGGCGAGTACACACACACAAAAAAAAAAAAAAAAAAAAAAAAAAAAAAAAAACATACACAAACACACACATCCAGTAGTTCACAAAATTCATTTTCTGGCCAAAATGCACAAATTTTCACTAAAAGGAAGTCACCATAGTGCCCTGTCACAATATTTTCCTGAATTAAAGTGCCATTTTTTTAAATTCTCTTGACTTACCCCAAAGTCATCTTCACTGTCGGAAATTACACCAGGATCAGCATCACCAGCACGCTGACCAGACTGCATAAGCTCTTGAGGGAAACCTTGACTATCCCGACTTCCTTTTCGAGCCTTCTTTCTCCCCGGTTTTTGTGCAATTTTGTCTATTTTATGACCTAAAAAAAAAAACATATGGTAACAAACACATTAAACAAAATACCATAGATAAAAGATTAATATGGTACTCTCTCTACTCTTGATATTTTATCACAATTTGCTGCAAATGCAAATACAAAGATAGGCAAGTATGCTAATAATCATGAATATAGGACTGAAGTGCTCAAGTGGATATGAAGAAGCTGTAAAAACAAATAATTACAAAGGTTTTTAGACTAAGGAAAGTCTTGCACAACTCAACACTTCTTTTCTTTCACTTCTAATTAAATTAAAAAAAAATCTGAGCACTTTTAGGAAACGTCCTAAATTGAAATAATTAGTTGAGATTAACACAGCATATACCTATGCAATGCAAGGGAAGTTTATGAATAATTCATCTTACTAGCTCATTGTGTTCTTAATGATAACAGAAGCCTTTCCATATCATTAAAGCCAAAGAGCTATCCAATTCATCACTTAACATTCAATTATTATATGCTAGCAACTGCTACATGAAGAATTCTGTAAAACTGAAAATAATGGACTAAACTTTAAAATACAAAATTATTAAAGGCTGTGTTGATGAATTAAGATAAATATACATTCATAGATTGATGGACATTTTGCATGAAAAGATGAGTACTGTATTTTTAACTTCTAGTTAAGTGTACAGTAGGGCCCCACTTATATGGCGGGTTAGGTTCCAGGCTATCGCCAGAAAGCAGACATCGTTGGAAAGCAGAACGCCATTTTTTCCATTTATAAATGCATATAAATGCCAGACAACAAGTCTACACTCAATTATATTAAGCTAGTAATAGAACTAGGCATTAAAAACACAATAAAAGGTAAGATACACACAGAGTACACTTATTACTTACCTTAAAATATTATTATTTATGTGTGTGAGGTGAGTGGCTGGGTGTTTACTGAATAAAATCAGAATGACACACCATCCTCTAACTTGGCACTTAAAGCAAGAGGCTTACAACTCCTTTTTATCACAGCTAAGCTTAGATGCCATCGTCAATAAGAGCCAACTAGTTAATGAAAGAGTAAATGAGAGAGAGAATGAGATACAGAGTTCAGACAATGTAAGAACACAAACTGAACAAGTAGTGGGTGATCACTTTGTCAGGCAAAATAAATGCGTATTAATGTGTGTGTACTTTTTGTTCGTTCACGTACGTTTGTAAGAGTTTGTAAAACTTTTACCTCATAATATTTTCATTATTATAATAATAATTACCTCAATACAAATACTCTTACATTGTGTACAAGTCAGTACAGAATAAACAAACAGAAACACTCCCATTCTCATGCAACACACCATTTTTAGATGAATGATGATGATATAATAAAAAAGCACTAAACCCACAAGGGTCGTGAATTGCTATATATAGAGTGAAGGCATACAAAAGGAATATTTTTCTACAGTTATCCCCCAGTGTTTGACTAGAGAAAACGTAATTCTTCCGACACTACCTACACAGCCGCTTTGTAAACAAATCTCATACTAACGTAAATTTTTATTCTGTGAGTGCATGTATCATGTTTATATGCTATGTAACGTGTTTCTTATATAATTTTGAGGAAAATATCATAGATGGATTACTGAAAATGTCTATGTTAACGTAAAATATGACATTTAATGTGCCCAAGAGTGATGATTATTACGTACTATTGGCATCAAGAGTAGAGAGACTCTTAGCGATTTTAATGTGTACCTGCACACCTGCACAGTGTGCAAGTATATTTAGGTACAGGTACACAAGTATAATTATCAGAGTACATATAAAATACACAATAACTGTAAAACACTTGAAATTTTGGAAAGTTTCCAAACATAATAGATGTGGTCACAGAGAACATAAACCGGGTGGGGCACGCCGTATTTGAAAGACTGCTTGCCATATAGCAAATTTTGGGCATAATTTGACATCACCATATTATTGGAACGCTGTAAGACGAAATGCCGTAAAGTGGGGCCCTACTGTATTAACCACCCACACCTCCACTCACCCTTTCCCCCACTTCTACACCCACCCTCATATGCACCTCCCACATCGTCAAAGAGTACAGTGGACCCCCGGTTATCGGCCGGTTTGGTTATCGGCCAACTCGGTTATTGGCGGGGTTTTCGGCGCTCGGTTATCAGCCATTTTGGACGCGTCCATCTGCCGGCTGGGGCAGCTTGCGCTTCAGTTTGGCTTTGTCTCTCTGTGACTGAGGAAGCTTCTGCTCATACATCCAAACATTTCACTTGTTTACCATTGTTTTTAGTGGTTTTTATTGCAGTGCAACTGTGAAATAAGTAACCATGGCTCCAAAGAAAGTTCCTAGTAAAGTTCCTGTGGTAAAGAAAGTGAGAAACACCATGGAATTTAAGCGTGAAGTGATAGAAAAATTTGAGAGTGGTATGAAGGTGGTGGAACTTGCCAGGATGTACAGCAAGAATAAATCAACATTTACAACCATCCTGACAAAGAAAGAAAAAATCAAAGATGCTAATGTTGCAAAACTAAACAAAGGAAGCCGATAATGGAAGAGATGGAAAAGTTATTTTTATTGTGGATTAAGGAAAAAGAATTAGTGGGAGACAGTGTAGTGAAGTCGATCATTTGTGAGAAGGCAAAGCAGTTGCATGAGGATCTTGCAAAGAAAATGCCTGGAAAAAGTGCTGCAGTTTGTGAATTTAGGGCCAGCAAAGGAGAGTTTGATCATGTTGGAGGATCTCACCTTCAAGGACCATAACATTGTATCAATCGCATCTGCCAGAAAAATGACAGGATGGATAATGAGAACCTTCAAAACTAGGGAGGCCAAGCCCATGATGACACTCTTCAGGTCACTTGTTCTATCCAGGCTGGAATATTGCTGCACACTAACAGCACCTTTCAAGGCAGGTGAAATTGCTGACCTAGAAAATGTACAGAGAACCTTCACGGCGCGCATAACGGAGATAAAACACCTCAATTACTGGGAGCGCTTGAGGTTCCTAAACCTGTATTCCCTGGAACGCAGGCAAGAGAGATACATGATTATATACACCTGGAAAATCCTAGAGGGACTAGTACCGAACTTGCACACGAAAATCACTCACTACGAAAGCAAAAGACTTGGCAGACGATGCAACATCCCCCCAATGAAAAGCAGGGGTGTCACTAGCACGTTAAGAGACCATACAGTAAGTGTCAGGGGCCCGAGACTGTTCAACTGCCTCTCAGCATATATAAGGGGGATTACCAACAGACCCCTGGCAGTCTTCAAGCTGGCACTGGACAAGCACCTAAAGTCGGTTCCTGACCAGCCGGGCTGTGGCTCGTACATTGGTTTGCGTGCAGCCAGCAGCAACAGCCTGGTTGATCAGGCTCTGATCCACAAATAGTCCTGGTCACAGACCGGGCCGCGGGGGCGTTGACCCCCGGTACTCTCTTCAGGTAAACTCCAGGCATACACAGTGCTGTAAGGCATGGTGAGGCTGCAAGTTCTGACAAATGCACGGCTGAAAAGTACGTTTATGAATTCCAGGACTATGTAAAGGCTGAAGGATTTGAACCCCAACAAGTTTTCAATTGTGACGAAACAGGTCTGTTTTGGAAGAAAATGCCAAACAGGATCTACATTACCCAGGAGGAAAAGGCACTGCCAGGACACAAGCCTATGAAAGACAGGCCTACTCTTTTGTTGTGTGGTAATGCTAGTGGGGATTTCAAAGTGAAGCTTTACTTGTGTATCACTCAGAAAATCCCAGTGTGTTCAAGAAAAACAATGTCATGAAGAATAGATTGTGTGTGATGTGGAAAGCTAATCATAAGGCATGGGTCACAAGGCAAATTTTCAAAGAGTGGGTTAATGATGTGTTTGGCCCAAGTGTGAAAAAATACCTCCTGGAAAAGAAATTGCCACTCAAGTGCCTCCTGTTACTGGACAATGCTCCTGCACATCCTCCAGACTTGGAAGACCAAGTGTTTAAGGACTTCAGTTTTATAAAAGTGAAGTTCTTGCCTCCTAACACCACTCCTCTCCTCCAGCCCATGGACCACAAGGTCATTTCTAACTTCAAAAAACTCTACACAAAAGCAGTGTTTCGAAAGTGCTTTGAAGTGACCTCGGACACTCAGTTGACCCTAAGAGAGTTCTGGAGGAATCACTTCACTATCCCCCATTGCATAAGCCTTATAGGTAAGGCTTGGGAGGGAGTGACTTACAGGACTTTGAATTCTGTTTGGAGAAAACTGTGGCCAGATTGTGTCCAAGAGAAGGATTTTGAAGGGTTTGAGATTCACAGTGACCCTGACCCTGCCGACCCTGTGGATTATTGTGTCTTTGGGGAAGTCCCTGGGGTTGGAGGCGAGTGGTGAGGATGTGGAAGAGTTGGTGGAGGACCACAGGAAAGAGCTTACCACTGAAGAGCTGCAAGAGCTTCAACTTGGACAGCAACAGACTGCAGCTGAGGAACTTGCTTCAGAGGAGGAGGAAGAGGGAGTGAAGGAAGTGCCTTCTTCAGAGATTAAAGAGGTGTGTGCAATGTGGACCAGGGTGCAAGCTTTTATAGAGAAACACCACCCTGACAAAGCTGAAACAAGCCATATTTGCAACATGTTTAGTGACAAAACCCTGTCCCACTTCAGGGAAATCTTAAAGAGATGCCAGAAACAGAGCACTCTGGACAGTTATTTTGTGAGAAAGGGGTCCAGTGACTCAAGCTGGTTCTTGTGTCATTAAAAGAGAGAAGGGAAGTAACCCCAGAGAAGGCATTGCTACCTAAAGTCTTTATGGAGGGGGATTCCCCTTCCAAAGATTAACTCCTCCCTCTTACCTCCTCCCTATCTTCCAGAAGCCAGCATTAGCCTTCAATAAAGGTATGTAATACTTACATAATTGTAAAAATTATTTTTTTGTGAATATTTTTGTTTGGAATGAATTATTTTTTTTTTTTTCAACAAGTCTGCCGTCTCCCACCGAGGCAGGGTGACCCAAAAAAGAAAGAAAATCCCCAAAAAGAAAATACTTTCATCATCATTCAACACTTTCACCACACTCGCACATTATCACTGTTTTTGCAGAGGTGCTCAGAATACAACAGTTTAGAAGCATACACATATAAAGATACACAACATATCCCTAAAAAACTGCCAATATCCCAAACCCTTCCTTTAAAGTGCAGGCATTGTACTTCCCATTTTCAGGACTCAAGTCCGACTATATGAAAATAACCGGTTTCCCTGAATCCCTTCACTAAATATTACCCTGCTCACACTCCAACAGATCGTTAGGTCCCAAGTACCATTCGTCTCCATTCACTCCTATCTAACATGCTCACGCACGCTTGCTGGAAGTCCAAGCCCCTTGCCCACAAAACCTCCTTTACCCCCTCTCTCCAACCCTTTCGAGGACGACCCCTACCCCGCCTTCCTTCCCCTATAGATTTATATGCTTTCCATGTCATTCTACTTTGATCCAATCTCTCTAAATGACCAAACCACCTCAACAACCCCTCTTCTGCCCTCTGACTAATACTCTTATTAACTCCACACCTTTTCCTAATTTCCACACTCCGAATTTTCTGCATAATATTTACACCACACATTGCCCTTAAACAAGACATCTCCATTGCCTCCAACAGTCTCCTCGCTGCTGCATTTACCACCCAAGCTTCACACCCATATAAGAGTGTTGGTACTACTATACTTTCATACATTCCCTTCTTTGCCTCCATAGATAACGTTTTTTGACTCCACATATACCTCAACGCACCACTCGCCTTTTTTCCCTCATCAATTCTATGATTAACCTCATCCTTCATAAATCCATCCGCCGACACGTGAACTCCCAAGTACAGTGGACCCCCGGTTAACGATATTTTTTCACTCCAGAAGTATGTTCAGGTGCCAGTACTGACCGAATTTGTTCCCATAAGGAATATTGTGAAGTAGATTAGTCCATTTCAGACCCCCAAACATACACGTACAATCGCACGTACATAAATACACTTACATAATTGGTAGCATTCGGAGGTGATCGTTATGCGGGGGTCCACTGTATCTGAAAACATTCACTTCTTCCATACTCCTCCTCCCCAATTTGATATCCAATTTTTCTTTATCTAAATCATTTGATACCCTCATCACCTTACTCTTTTCTATGTTCACTTTCAACTTTCTACCTTTACACACATTCCCAAACTCATCCACTAACCTTTGCAATTTTTCTTTAGAATCTCCCATAAGCACAGTATCATCAGCAAAAAGTAACTGTGTCAATTCCCATTTTGAATTTGATTCCCCATAATTTAACCCCACCCCTCTCCCGAACACCCTAGCATTTACTTCCTTTACAACCCCATCTATAAATATATTAAACAACCATGGTGACATTACACATCCCTGTCTAAGACCTACTTTTACTGGGAAGTAGTCTCCCTCTCTTCTACACACCCTAACCTGAGCCTCACTATCCTCATAAAAACTCTTTACAGCATTTAATAACTTACCACCTATTCAATATACTTGCAACATCTGCCACATTGCTCCTCTATCCACTATCATATGCCTTTTCTAAATCCATAAATGCAATAAAAACTTCCCTACCTTTATCTAAATACTGTTCACATATATGCTTCAATGTAAACACTTGATCTACACATCCCCTACCCACTCTGAAACCTCCATGCTCATCCGCAATCCTACATTCTGTCTTACCTCTAATTCTTTCAATTATAACCCTACCGTACACTTTTCCTGGTATACTCGGTAAACTTATTCCTCTATAATTTTTACATTCTCTTTGTCCCCTTTCCCTTTATATAAAGGGACTATACATCCTCTCTGCCAATCCCTAGGTACCTTCCCCTTTCATACATTTATTAAACAAAAGTACCAACCACTCCAACACTATATCCCCCCTGCTTTTAACATTTCTGTCATGATCCCATCAGTTCCAGCTGCTTTACCCCCTTTCATTCTACGTAACGCCTCACGTACCTCCCCCACACTTACATTCTGCTCTTCTTCACTCCTAAAAGATGGTATACCTCCCTGACCAGTGCATGAAATTACTGCTTCTCTTTCTTCCTTAACATTTAAAAGTTCCTCAAAATATTCTCGCCATCTACCTAATACCTCCATCTCCCCATCTACTAACTCCCCTACTCTGTTTTTAACTGACAAATCCATACTTTCCCTAGGCTTTCTTAACTTGTTTAACTCACTCCAAAATTTTTTCTTATTTTCATTAAAATTTCTTGACAGTGCCTCTCCCACTCTATCATCTGCTCTCCTTTTGCACTCTCTCACCACTCTCTTTACCTTTCTTTTACTCTCCATATACTCTGCTCTTCTTATAACACTCCTGCTTTGTAAAAACCTCTCATAAGCTACCTTTTTCTCTTTTATCACACCCTTAACTTCATCATTCCACCAATCACTCCTCTTTCCTCCTGCCCCCACCCTCCTATAATTAATTTTATTTTCATTAATTCTTATGGGAAATATTAATTCGGTTATTTTCATTAATTCTTATGGGAAATATTAATTCGGTTATCGGCCAACCTTCAGGAACGGATTACGGCTGATAACCTGGGGTTCACTGTACGTGTATTATAAAAGAACAGTGCTTCTTTGTTAATACAAATTTATTAAACAAGCTGGGCTAAGGTGACTAAATGCTTAAACAGCAATATCCACTAGCATACATTTGAATTATCTCCACACATGTATATTGTACATGTAGATCCATTCACCTAAAAATATTTTATATGCACACATTTTACTCCAACAGCACGTCAAGTATTAAAAGGGATTCAGGGAAACCGGCAGGCCAGACTTGAGTCTTGGAGATGGGAAGTACAGTGCCTGCACTCTGAAGGAGGGGTGTTAATGTTGCAGTTTAAAAACTGTAGGGTACAGCACCCTTCTGGCAAGACAGTGATGGAGTGAATGATGGTGAAAGTTTTTCTTTTTCGGGCCACCCTGCCTTGGTGGGAATCGGCCAGTGTGTTAATAAAATAATAATAAAACATTTTACTAAATACGTATATACAGTGGTACCTCGGGGTATGAACTTAATTTGTTCCAGAAGGCTGCTCGAGTGCCGATACCAAACGAATTTGTTCCCATAAGGAGTAATGTAAATTAGATTAATCCATTTCAGGCCCCCAAAAATACACTTGCAAAAGCACTTGCATAAATACACTTATATAAATGTTTGAGTTTTGAGCTGCTCGTATCCCAAGGTACCACTGCAGTTGGTTGTCTTGGTTTTCAATGTATTAATACTTGTTTACCTTGAACAAAGAAGATAAATTTATACCCAAACCTTTCTTAAACCAGGTACTATTGTACTCCAGATACTTAAAACACCAATGTATATTTTGTATACCCTTAACATTACAAAATAACATTTACTTACTGACAGACTTGGCAAAACTCTTCAGATTTGCTCTTTCTTTGCTTCCCAAGCTCATCAAACTGCCACCTGAAAAAACATTCAGTGGTTTCATCAGTTTACCTGCCACTCAACTTATCACCCATTACAGCATAAGAAAAAAAAAAAAAAAAAAAAAAAAAAAAAAAAAAAAAAAAAAAATTTAAATACTGTATACAATGTTAAATATCTAAATTTTTAATTTTGATCAAATACAATTTTCTTGGCATTAATGTTCACATTCGTAACAATTTTCATGAGTTAATCTTTAAAAATAATAAGTTAATTTATTACCTAAATTCTTAAGTGATGTAATTGATTTATTCTTCTCTTTCTTGGAGACATCTAGAAGTGATCCTGATTTAACAGTGAATGCCACTTTAATCTCCAGGTCACCTCTCTCCTTTTCCCCTTTCTTACGGTCTTTTTCTGGTTTTCCCTTGAGACGATGCCATCTGTATACAAAGGAGAAATTCATTCACAACTGCCAGACTAGGTCATAACATACAAGTGCAAGAGAAAACTTCTTTGTCCTACTTATTTTATGAACACTAATAAAGCACTATTCTCTTAAGATATTACACAAAATTGTACAAACTGCCAATTAATAATTATAGATATTACACAGGGTTACCACAGTTTTAACTTGAAGCATTTTTGCTTCTGCTAGTACAGGCAAGATTATCTTAAGTAACTCTTCCTAAATGAGTGAACAATATGTATAGAGACAAAAACAATTACAGTACAGTATATCATATTTGTACAAATAGAAAATACTGTATTACCCAATAATTATTAAAAAAAATCTAAGTTATAACAAAAAGAATAATAACTCCTTAGCAGCACCCTCATTAAAGTACCTAGTATAATAAAGCAAAGATAACTTTTACTTATAAATACAGCTTGATAAAATGCTACAGCTGGTCCTATAACAATCTGTAATCCTTCCACGATCATGCCTTCCATTCCCCTCACAGAAAAGTTTAAAAAAAAGTTATAGGCTGTACAAGCTGTATACACTTGTAAAGTTTAGCACTAGAATAGCAATAAACAAAAAAAAAAAAAAATTCCCCTCTAAATTAGCTAAACCTCAATTTCTGAAATGCTAAAGACTCATCTTGGCTCAGTTCAGTCTTACATTTTCTACCCACTAAAGCACAATTATGTACTTACACACCTGCTTCTGGGTCTCTCGTACACATCGAATTCTGAGAGAGGAAGCTGCACCTGCCCCAAGAACTCATCAAGACCAAGAGCATTGCGATGATACACTGTCAAGCTAAGGGCAGCTGTATTGCCATGAGTTGGAATTGCTCTGAAAAAGTAAAATAATGGTTAGGGCATTTATTTTATTACTAATTACTAACACAGTATGTATATTTAAATTATCATGAGCTGTTAATGGTACAGCAGAAATACAGTATTAATAGTTTTAATATCATCATTCTTGTTGTCGTCATCATTGTTTTTGTTAGTGTCAGATTACTGTCATCAATACTGCGAATTATTATTGTCAGCATTGTCTTTGTTATAGTCAGTTATTGTTGTTGCTACAGTTATTAAATAGAATTCATTATTAGAGAACATTACTAATATATATATTTTTTTTTGTGATATGCACTTACATAATATATTGTACAGTACGATCCCCATATCCATGGGAAATATGTTCCATGGACCTGTCATGGATACCAAAACTGTGGTTAATAGTTTACCCTATATAAGTCCTATACATACTTATCAAAGTTTGACTGGTAAATTATACACAATAAGTGGAGAATTATCACTTTTTCACTGATGAGAAGCAATTCACAGCTTCTCAGGCTTTGAAGAACTGCCAGCTCTACTACTTTTGTGCTTTGGGGCCATTATTATGCAAAATTAAGAGGTATTTTTGGGTCACAGTAAACCGTGGATAACTGAAACCTCGGATAATGAATCGGTGAAATATGGGGGTTCTACTGTATGTACTTCAATAAAATAAGCTACCCTGGAAAATATTTTTAGGATTAAATAAAACATTGTAATTACAGAACCACAGACATCAGTAATTTTTCACCATATTATACATGGTTTAGTTACTGAAAATTACAAATAATACAACCCAAATGTTGGATTACCTGAATATTAACTCATCCCTTGAAAATAATACAATATAGGTTATGTGACTGCATTTATTTTTATTATTTTTTATTAACACATCGCCAATTCCCACCAAGGCAGGGTGGCCCGAAGAAGAAAAACTTCCATCATTCACTCCATCACTGTCTTGCCAGAGGCGTGCTTACACTACAGTTATAAAACCACAACATTAATACCCCTCCTTCAGAGCGCCGGCATTGTACTTCCCATCTTCAGGAATCAAGTCCGGCCTGCCGGTTTCCCTGAATCCCTTCATAAATGTTACCTTGCTTACACTCCAACAGCACATCAAGTCCTAAAAACCATTTGTCTCCATTCGCGATCTAACACGCTCACACACACTTGTTGGAAGTCCAAGCCCCTTGCACACAAAACCTCCTTTATCCCTTCCCTCCAACCTTTCCTAGGCTGACCCCCATCCTGCCTTCCCTCCACTACAGATTTACACACCCTCGAAGTCATTCTGTTTCGTTCCATCTCTACATGTCTAAACCATCTCAATAACCCCTCCTCGGCCCTCTGGATAATAGTTTTGATAATCCCACACCTCCTAATCTCCAAGCTACAGATTCTCTGCATTATATTCGCACCACACATTGCCCTCAGATATGACTTCTCCACTGCCTCCAGCCTTCTCTTTGTTGTAATATTCACAACCCATGCCTCACACCCATACAGGAGTGTTGGTATAACTATACTCTCAAACATTCCCCCCCTTTGCTTTCATGGATAAAGTTCTTTGTCTCCACAGATTCCTCAGTGCACCACTCACCTTTTTCCCCTCATCAATTCTATGATTCACGTCATCCTTCATAGACTCATCTGCTGACATGTCCACTCCCAATACTCTCTCCTCCATACTCTCCCCCTCCAATCTGATACCCAATCTTCCATTACCTAATTTTTTTGTTTGCATTTATTATGCTATTTTTTTGTTATTGATACAAAAAACTAACAGTACCCTAACCTGCTAAAATTTATGAAACTATAAAATAACTTCATATGTTATACCTATCTAAGGATTGACAATTATATTTCAGTTTTTTAAGGGACTGGGAATATAAATCTCCACCTGACTTAAAAATCTTCCTGCATTATGAGGTATCCAAAAAGGGGTATTTTAAGAGGTTACCTGATTTTTTTTTTCTTCCAACTTTTCAATTTTATTTCATTCATACCTCCAAAACATCCTATACAACTGCCTTCAAATTTTCAACACTTCTGTATGGTAATGAGGACTAAATTCTTGGAATAAATGACATGTTCACGTGTCCTATGACCGAAGTTGTTGAATCCATTCCCAGCATTCTGGAATGGCTGGGGTAACTTCCAAAACCCTCAATGGCGTAGCTTCAAATGTTCGAAAGAGGGCAAGAGGAGTCAAAAAATACAATAGCAAGAGCTAAATTCAAATATCTAGGAGCTGATTTGGCCATTTTTATTCCCATTAAATCACATTAGACAATTTACATTTACCTATTCTGAACGGCTTCAATATTTAATGACTGATGAATCAGAGCCAGGATAGTACCTATTAAGTTTCGTTTACATTGTGTCAAATTTGTTGATGCAGTAAAATGGTGAAAAAAAAAAAAACTTTTAAACTGTTGGAATCCATGCCATAATTAGAGAATGACTTATCTAACTGACTTCACCACAGGTGTGGCTTCCTGAACACAAGGCTCATGCTGCATTAATGAGATGTAACATATCTCTTCAGGATCACAATGATAAACCAGTTATATATCCTTAAGGCATGCATTCCTCCTAAGAATTTAAGGTACAATAAATCAGATGTGAGACAATGCATCACTATCTCGAGTGCAGTGACTTCCTCCAACCCAACAACATTCACACCAAAACCACTAACATTCACACAAGTCACCCAACTTTACACCACAAGCCATCGTTGCCAGAAACATTCACAGCAACCACACTGACGTTACACCACAATGCCAATGCTTTTAACATTAACAGAAGCCACCCCACTCCATGTTACAACACAGTGCCACTGCATCCAACATTCACACCAGTCACCCCATTACAACAGTGCCACTTCGTCCAACATTCACACCAGCCACCCCATGTTACAACACTGCCACTGCATCCAACATTCACACCAGCCACCCCATATTACAACACTGCCACTGCATCCAACATTCACACCAGCCACCCCATGTTACAACAGTGCCACTGCATCCAACATTCACACCAGCCACCCCATGTTACAAAAGTGCCACTGCGTCCAACATTCACACCCGCCACCCCATGTTACAACACACTGCCACTGCATCCAACATTCACACCAGCCACCCCATGTTACAACACTGCATCCAACATTCACACCAGCCACCCCATGTTACAACACACTGCCACTGCGTCCAACATTCACACCAGCCACCCTATGTTACAACACACTGCCACTGCATCCAACATTCACACCAGCCACCCCATGTTACAACACACTGCCACTGGGTCCAACATTCACACCAGCCACCCCATGTTGCAACACACTGCCACTGGGTCCAACATTCACTCCCGCCACCCCATGTTACAACACTGCATCCAACATTCACACCAATCACCCCATGTTACAACACACTGCCACTGCGTCCAACATTCACACCAGCCACCCCATGTTACAACACACTGCCACTGCGTCCAACATTCACACCCGCCACCCCATGTTACAACACACTGCCACTGCATCCAACATTCACACCAGCCACCCCATGTTACAACACATTGCCACTGCGTCCAACATTCACACCAGCCACCCCATTACAACAGCGCCACTTCGTCCAACATTCACACCAGCACACCCCATGTTACAACAGTGCCACTGCATCCAACATTCACACCAGCCACCCCATGTTACAACACTGCCACTGCATCCAACATTCACACCGCCACCCCATGTTACAACACACTGCCACTGCGTCCAACATTCACACCAGCCACCCCATGTTACAACACATTGCCACTGCGTCCAACATTCACACCAGCCACCCCATGTTACAACACACTGCCACTGGGTCCAACATTCACACCAGCCACCCCATGTTACAACACATTGCCACTGCATCCAACATTCACACCAGCCACCCCATGTTACAACACTGCATCCAACATTCACACCAGCCACCCCATGTTACAACACTGCATCCAACATTCACACCAGCCACCCCATGTTACAACACACTGCCACTGCATCCAACATTCACACCAGCCACCCCATGTTACAACACTGCCACTGCGTCCAACATTCACACCCGCCACCCCATGTTACAACACTGCCACTGCGTCCAACATTCACACACGCCACCCCATGTTACAACACACTGCCACTGGGTCCAACATTCACACAAGCCACCCCATGTTACAACACAGTGCCACTGGGTCCAACATTCACACAAGCCACCCCATGTTACAACACAGTGCCACTGGGTCCAACATTAACAGTAGCCACCCTACGTCAAACCACTGCGTCCAGCAACATTCACACTAGCCACCCATTACTCTCATTGTACAGCAACGTACAGCAACATTCACAACAGCTACCCCACGTTGCACTCGCTGCCCAACAACATTTACACCAGCCACCCCAACTTACACCACTATTATCAACAAATAACAGTATTGCTATATTATTACACAACTCCCACAACCACAAATCTACTTTTTCATATCTATTGTAAACATTTCATTATTATATTCCAACTTCCGCCAGTATGCATACATACATATACAAAAAAGTTCCCTGTACAGTTACAAAATATATTTACTCCACTTTGAGTCTGGTTATACTAACTTGTAAAAAAACATATTTAACTATAAAAAACTAAGAAAAATGACAGCAACATGTCTGGCAACGCTGTGACGAAACAGCATCCGGAAAAATTAAAATTTGCACGAATATCACTGATGGTTCAAGAAATGGTTGCACATCCACTATTACAGCGGACAGTGACCCCCCCAACACTGGGACTGAGGGAGTTGAACTAGACAGGTAACCAACCACACCATCTGTCATAGTCTTCCTGGGGGTAAACACTTGCATTTACTGCTATTTACACAAGACTTTGCTAAGCGAACTTCCACATACTTCTAGTGCAGCTGAAAACGGTAACGGCTTCCTTTCCCTTCATTCCGCTCATACACACACACGTATGT